GGGGGGGCCATGTGAAAAAATTGGTAAGCTGAGGGGGGGTCATGCGATTTTTAAATGGTGCTTCCCAAATCCCACCAGCCCCCCCTCCCTCATAAAAAGTGAACGGTCCCTTAACCTCACGGACTAAGAAACGTTAGCAAATACTTCGAGGGATATTGCGTTGATATATGTACCCACATTTTCCCAGAACTAAAATAAATTAATGTAGGGCAATAAGTAAAGAGAATAACCATTTCGATCAGTAAAAGTTAAAGCTTACCTTGAACACGTCGTAGTTGCCAAGAATATTGTCCAGGGCAAGATACAGGTCATTCAAAAATGCCACGATCTAAGATAAAAGAAATTTCCTAAACTCAACTACTATTTTCACTGAAATCTCCGAAAAGGAACACAGTTATTCGTTAATTAAAAGTCCTCCTCAAACTCACTAATAATTCATCAAGTTTAAAACAAAAATAATCAAGACCTTGACGGTGTTTGGATGTCTGATCTTAACTAGCATAGATTTTTTGTTTTTCTTTCGCCGTTTTCTCCTTAGTTTTATTTTCGAATGAGAAGACAATGATTCACCACATTTCCAAACACCTTGAGGTTCGTCAAAAATGCTCCGCTGCGCTGTCTCTTTTGTCTCTCTTGTCTGATATATTACGTAAAAAAAGGCATAAACAAACAGAAAACGAAATTTATAATAGTTAGTGATTAGGATTCATATTTTTCAATTTTGTATTTCACCTCCATAGGCGTACTCTCTGAAGCCAGATCAATGAATGCCATGATTTCACTGAAGTAAATTGTAACTTCATCAAAATACTCAGGTGTTACAGGCTTGCCAAGCTTCAGTTCCTCTGCCACGGCGCTGCGTACAGTAAACAAAGACAACAGTCCTGTTATTCAATGTTGCGGAATTTCGAGAAGTAACAAAACATGGTTTGAGAGCCAATCCGAATGTAATTGTGGCTTTTGTAAAAAATAAAAAGAGCAGAACTCGTTTACAAAACAGGACTGGCGGACGATGGAAAAGATGGAAATATATGTACAAACTTGAAACTGCAAGAACTTGTGTCAAAAATATCTTTGGAGAGCAAGGTCTCTTGCAGATATCACATCTGTAATCCCCGTTGGTATGGCAGTTTCCATCCCAAACCCCAACCCCCAGCATTTTGTCAGATTGGCCTAAAATTTGGCTGGTGGCCTGGTGATCAGTTATACTCTTGGCTAGCGAGAGACATAGACTATAGAGTTGTTCCTTACACTGGTAGCATTTTATAAAGAAGCTTGTCCGTCTTCTTCTTCTCCTCCATCAGCAGTCGCGTTCTTTCCTCCACAAGCGCCTCCAAGTTCTCAGCGTGACGCTCGATCAACGCCATAATGTTATCCATGATGTTCACATCCCTATAAAGCAACAGGAGATAAGCATTACAGTCGGTAGCCAGAGGCAACAAGTTGACGTTTTTCAGGTTCTGCTTTTTTGTCAAAAAAAAAAAAAAACAATGCTTTCACTTGCGTGCATGAAGTCATACGATTGCGTTATCTTACTTAGTAACTTATTTTCTCATACGTATTAATAATTTATCAAGTTTAAACAAAGGAAATAATGACCGTGGAGGTGTTTGGATATCTGGTCTTAATTTGCGCAGTCTTGGACGATTTTATTTCTCGTTTTCTCCTTAGTTTTAGTTTTGATTGAGAAGATATATCAAACACCCTAGAAAGCGTTTGTCCACACCTTAAGTTGGATCAAAAATACGGCGCTACGCGTCGTATTTTCTTTCTTCAGGGTTCGTACCTTTTTCAGAAACAAATTGCCAGGACTTTTCCAGGACTCAGATTGATTTTTCCAGGACTCTAAAATTCCCATTAACCCTTTCACTCCCATTATCTTAATGTTAATTCTCCTTACTGTCTGCCATACATTTCATATTTTTTTACTTGAGTTTAACAGATTTCCAGAACTTTCCAGGACCAGTAGCCTTTTCCAGGACTATCCAGTCCTGGAAAATGCCACAATAAAATTCCAGGACTTTCCAGGTTTTCCAGGACCCGTACGAGCCCTGGCCTTTCTTATTATTTTCTTCTCTTTGGAATGTGGTCAAACACGATCTTTCGTGTTTGATATAATTACACCAGGATTTCGACCAAAGAACCTCATGGGGGTTCTACGTAAAAGTAGCTTGTGTTCTTGAAATAGAGTCCTCCTCTCAACAGCAGGAAATTTTGTACCCTTATAGAGTTCATGACCATGTACTTACCTGCCCATGACCTTACGGAGCCTATCCAGGATTTTATTAAAATGGGGCCGTCTATCAGGGTCATCATCCCAGCACTGCGTCATAAGGGACTGGAGCTCAGACTTACAAGCGTTCTCTTTGACCACGGGCCGGAATGGAGGATCTTCATGTGCCATTACACGAGCGATGATTTCTGCCCAAAAAATGCCGGACGTGTTTTAAATTCATCTAGCTTCCTTAATTTTTCGATGAGACCAGGGTTTTTTAAGCTTTCGCCAATTTCTGAAACCGCTTTTGGTCTTGCATTGGGTAAGCTCGAAATGCGCAGCGCGCTTCATATAAGCAATCAGAATGAAGGATAAACTAACAGACTAGAGTTTGACAAAACAAGTGACTCTTCACTGTTACAGTCAAGTCTTCATTCGCTGTGGTTTCAAAATGGGTTCGCTGAGGCCATTGTGTTGAGTTCTTGATTCTTGGCCCGTTTCTAGATCTCGAAGATCCCGAAAAGTTTTCGCACCCGGAAAGCCATAGCAAAATCTCAAACCTTATGATTACAGAGCTGTTTTATTCCCATATTCTAAATATGAACAAAGGTTCCGGTCTACATAAAAGAAGTTTCAGGCGTATACACCTCTCTTAGATACAGATTAACTTAAAATGGCTTTGGGGGCCAGAAAAGTTTCCGGGGCTGTCGAGAAACGGGCCCGAGGGCGTTAGCGAGAATTTTGATTTCAATTTTGCAACTCTTCGGTGAGGTTTTCTGTTTATATTGTTTATCCTTCAGTTTTGAGTTTGAATAATCTCAAACTACACAAAGCATAAGCAGTGAAAAACATTTTGATAAAAGAAAAATTAACACTTCGGTTAGCTTTCAATCCTGGGTGAGCGTTAACCGGCTTCCGAGCAACTCGGCCAACTCAGGAGACTGATCGATTGTGTGCTTTTATTACCTTGCGGTTCAAATGGATACATGCTGTAAGGTGGCTTCCTGTTGGCAATTTCTTGAAGGATGATTCCATAACTGTACACATCTCCTTTTTGTGATCCTCGGTTGTCCATCTCACCGTCAATAATGTGTTCAGGAGCGCACCACAACATGTCTGAAATTAAAATGAAACGAGAATGGCGACCTATCCCATTTTAAAAGGTGCTCGCTGTTGATACCAATTGGGATCAACTGTTTCTATTTGGTTGGGTTTTTCTTGTTCTATTGGGGAAAAACCGTTTTAGGTAGGTTTGGTTGATCAACTTTTTCAACCGGCCTCAAACCAGGTTGAAATGGTTTTAAAAGCATTTGCCTGATTATAGCTCGCGTAAGGACTATTCCCAGTGGTTACGGCGTTTCAACCTAAAACGGTTGGAAAAGTGTTCTTTTGAGAAACGTCAACCGTATCAACCCAACCTGGTTGCGGTTGAAACGGTTGATCCCAA